TCATTACTAGAAAAACAATTGCCAATTTTTAGTTCTCATAGTTCTCTTTAAATATATAAACTCACATCTGCACCTATACCAACACACATAGATAAAATTTCTTCTCTTTACTAAATTAAGTTTTGCATCACTCGAGAAGGCTTCCTTCACACAGAAGAAATCATATTGGGAACTCTTAGTAAGATGAAAAATACATTGGAGCATTTTCTTATTCATTGTTAAATATGGCCTGAGACGTTTGCTCCCGTGTCTTGGTGTCATTTTGGGTCACTCAAGTATTACTCGGGATGGTGATGTTTAACAGGCGGAGAGGGTGCATTAGGATTAGAATGAAGAAAAAGAATTGATGGCAAATTCCCCACATTGGGGAACAGAATGGGAACCATTTTGATGGGCGGAAGAGTTGAACGACGGATTAAAAAAGCAAATTTTTGGTGTTTCACATAGCAGTTAAGAGGAAGAGTAAATCCCTCTAGTCAACAAATTTTGGACATGTATTAATTACAGATTCTTTGTATAAGGTGGACTGGGTATATCTTTTGTATAAGTTTATGGGTTGTGCCCCTTCAGAACCTATTATTGAGCTACATTAACTCCAAAAAAGAAAAAAGAAATAGGAGAGAGAGAGAGAGAGAGAGAGAGAGAGAGAGAGAGAGAACTCTTTAGACATGGTCATCAATACAGGGCTAGTGATTGTCCACCTACTTGGCATGAGATCTAGAAATCAAAAGATTAGGTAGGGCTTACAGAATAAGAAATTCATGCTCACTAGATAAATTATCAAAGTAGCTTTACTGTTATAGATAGAGCATTTCGTTTTGGACACAAGAATGGTTTACAAAAATGTGCAGATAGGTTAAAGATAGTCGGTTAGAAGTAGATTTTTTTTTTTTCTTTTCCAGTTTGGGTATTAATAACATAATTAGATAAGTAAGGAATTAAAAATATAATTTTCTGTAACAAGGATATCTATTATTAGTGAACTCATGTGTTTTCTTTAATATATATACACATATATATAATTACAACTAGTCTAGTAAAATATAAACTTGTTCACTTTGAATGGTGATTGTGTAATGGAAACTGCTATATGCAATGGTAATTTTTTTTGCTTCCTAGCAGAAAAAAGTGCAGGTATGGTCTAATGGCATTCATGTCACAGTAAAGTTAGATGCTGGGTTTGGACCTTCTCCTTCTACCCAGCTCGTCAAATTTATCAAGACAAACATGGGTAGTGTTTTCTTGTTTACACGTGTATGTGCTGTGCAACAATGCAATTGCATTGCACCCAAAATGATTTGTGTGAGTTCTCTTATAATTAAAAAGTCATTTAGAATAAATTATGCGCAGAATTAATAGTTTCAAGATTTTAGACAATCAAAATTTTTGAAAATTTTAAATTGTGTTTGTCTGTTGAAATTTTGATCGAAAATAGTGATACAGGAGCTTATTGTTTATTGCTCCAGTTGGAATGGAAGTGTTACTGGTAGAGAGGAGTACAATGCAAACAGACCCACATGCATTATCATGAATCTATGTCTATACTTTGCATTGTCCTTGCCTGTACTTTTGCTTACGTCCATTCTCTAATGGTGCTAATACTTGATTAAAGGATACATGGACCTAATGCCTTTTAATCTGTTCATTATAGTTATGGGAAAACCGGACAAAAATGATGAGTATTGGTATGGCATTATAAAAGCAGTGACTTTTTCTTCTGAGACGCTGCAAATCACCAAGAACCTGATGAAGCCGCTGGAAGATATCTTTGACCAGATGTAAGAGCTAAACACGCTAAAGTTTTCTGATTTATAAACACACTAAAGTACTGTGAATATAGTTATTCTTCATTTGTCTATCATATTGTAAAATATTTCTCATGTGTTTTATTGCTAATTTTAATATAACATTAATTGACTCTGATCATCCTAATTTATCAGAATGATCAGTTAGATTTCATATATCCTTCAGGTTTGTTATTTTTTTAGCATGTATACATTCACTCTACTTATATGGAGCTCATAATGGGGTTATGTTGCTTAGCAAAAGGTAAGGCTTTTGTCTTTGATGTGACCAACTGTTCTTGAATAGTCTCTTTGGCTATATCCTTTTCCATCCCGTTATATTCATTCTAGTCTTAAATTATGGTTGTTTAACCTCTTCTGCTTCAAACTTGAAGAACTTAAGTTGTGAAGCCACTATTGTAACTGGCAGTCGGACTTGCGAGGTTATTTATGTAGCACATATGGATAATGCATGTATATATCTATATGTATATATCATTTTGACTCAAAGTCAACACTCTTTAACTGTTACCTCAAAAAAACTAAACAAGAGTCCATAGCATGCAAACATTTAATTGTGGTTTCTTCACTTATGACTCTCTCTTGCAAGTTACAGTTTATTCATTTTTGTGCATGTTAAGTGCTCTACAATATTTAGGATTGTTATACGAGATTTATGATTTTTCCATTTTTTTTTCCTAATAGGAAAAAATTGAGTGTTGAGGTTTTCGCTTCGCTTATGAAAGAAATGTGTGTTTCCGATGGAATGCGAGTATTTAGGAGTGCTCTACATGATTCATGATTTCCCCTTCTTTTTTTTTTTTTCTTTTTTTTTGTCTTTTCTCTTTCTTATAGAATAAATATTGAGTATTGAGATTTTCACCTTGCTTATGAAAGAAATGTATGTTTTTGATGGAAATGAATGGAAAATCTCATTTTCAGTTGTATGCCATTACGATAACTAGTATTTTCTTCATCTTTTTATGTGGCAGCTATTAGCATTATGAGTTATGTTCTTACCTTAATGAATCTTATAATTTAAGTGGGTTGTTCTCTCAGCTTTAGTCCTGAAAGTACCTTTCTTTTGGCAGTGCAGCTGCATACTTTGTGGAGATCAATGTGAAAGCATCATTCTCATCGGCAGTAAAGATGGTCGAGAAGGTAGCAGTTATCTAAGTTTTTCTATTTTTCTTTTGACAAATTGTAGAGCTAATCTTATTTTCATATGAGCTGCGAACTTTGGGGGACCATTTAAAATATTTGTGATGAAAATTGTGTATATATGTTCTTTTTAAGGCTCTTCTATCCACTGCAGTAAACTGTACCACCAATTGGTTTGTAACTGAACATCATTTTTTTTGCAACAGAACTCCAGAAACTTTTGGATTTAGTTTTTATATGTGCGCACACACACAAACGCGCACACACATGATAAAATACCATCAAGAGGTCTCTCTTAGAACAAGAGTCATGAGCGCTCTTTATTTTTTGTTGTACTGAATTTCAAGATTCTTTTGGCCAGTAATTGAACTTTCTGGGCAAACACCTACTATGTGAAGGATAGTTTCTATTGTTGACCTTTCCTAGATTGTTTTGTGCTAAGAAGACAACTGGTTCAATAATTAATAATAATCTTCAAATGTTGCATTACTGAAAATTATCTTACAGGTGGTTTATAAATGGAAGTGCATGGTAAATCAAGAATAGATGAAATTTCCAGTATTGCTATCTATAACATTTATCCCTTCTTTTTTCCAGTCTGGTTGAAGGGCTATTATATCAGCAAGGAAGACGCGTTAAGTGAGTCTCTATTTCAATATTGAAATTCCTGGTCTGCTTTATAACTTGTACTGCCAATCACCTCTGATTTGTGATTTTTTTACAGATTACAGGAAAGCATTATCTCGGGATGTAGAAAAGAAATCTCTTATCCCCCCTAGAGATAAATCTTCGTATGCTCCTGATGAACTGTACACAGTAAATGATGAACATGAAGACAACTGGTGAAACCCTTGGCAAGAGAGTTTGATCGAAATGCATTGATATGAAGAACCGGGAATTAGGCATATAGGGCCTGGTGGTAGATACATTGATGTGGTATATGATTTTTTTTTTTTCCTTTTTCCGAACTGTAAATGAGGATTGCTGATGGTGTAGATGAAGACTGATACTTTGTGAAACTTTAGCAAGAGAATTTGATCGAAATGCATGGATGTGCATATACTGGTTGTAGATTTTTTAGTAATGAACTTATGAGAAATGTGATAAATGAATATGAATGTACACTGTCTGATGACAAGTTATGCACTGCAACAGGAAGAATTGAGATGATGTTGTGATGTTCTTGAATTTAGTATTTTTATGTTGAACCTTTTTGTGCAATTATTTATAGTATTAGAAAGTAATTTTTGTCTATGTTTTTAATAAAAATGCATATAGTGACTCCAGAGATTTATATGTATGGATTTCAAATCAGTCATAAAGCATTTGAGATGTATGTTCTTCTCAATATGATTAAAATCTATCGCGGATTAAAAAATGCTAAGGTTTCAACTCTCAATATGTTTAAAATATATAAGCACGGACTAAGAAAATTCCAAGGTTTCAACTCTAATAAGTACTGAAACATTAAAATTTTTGAAATGAAATGTTCAAAATAATTACGAATATTTTGATAAATTTAGCTTGTTATTTTTAAAAGTTTAATAAAAATAATGATTTAGAATTTGTTTTAAATAAAATTTTTATTTTTTTCCAAACTTTTTGAAACTATTTTCAAATAACAGAAGGTTTAATTTCTAAAAATAAGGTTCTGTTCTCACAGAATTAAAACTAAAACTAAAAAATATTACGTAAAATCTTTTCACTATAGTCTTTGAAAAAGAGTCTATTAAAACAGTTTTTTTTTTAATTAATTTTTTGTTGTAATTATATATATATATATGGGGTAAAGAACTCTCACAATGTCATTGGAGAGACTTGAATCCTCCACATTTAGGCTTTTTTTTGGAAAAAGTTTTTTTATTTTTTTGGTAAAATATAAATTTTTTATTTTTACTTTTTTCTATATTTAGCAAATGTATAAGTTGAGGCTAGGCGTATAAAATAACTTGCTGAAAAAATGATAAGTTATTTTTGTTAGATTTTAATTTTTTTTTCCTTATAAATATTTTACAACAACCAAACACTAAATATATATATATATATATATATATATATATTATACAAAATATTTTACACCCAGCCTTAAGGTTGAAAGAAGTGGTGATACACTGATACCACAAATTTGTGCAAATTTTATAATTATTTTAGAAATTATTTTATTATTAGAGTTGAAAAAAAAAAAAAAAAATTAAACCTAACATGCCCTTGTAGTTTGTCTGTGGCTGGGTCAGGTAGGCCGTCGTTGGGCCCAATGTTTAAAAACGCAGAGGGAAGTGTTTTCTCCCGCACTGGCGCATTCTATTACGACTCTCACACACAGAGTGTGTGTGAGAGAGAACGAGAAACAGAGAGAGAGAGAGAGAGAGAGAGAGATGACGACAATTCGAAAATTCTGCTGCAACGATTTTCTCCGATTGTCGACTGTAAATCTTGAGCGTTTCACTATAACAGTAAGTGATATCTTATTATTGCTTTATTGATTGAGTTAATGGATCGATATAAAGGTAGGGTTTGAAACATATACATACATACATATATATATATATTGTGATGAGTGCAGCACGGTGTGGAAGGCTACAGGCACTTCTTGGCGTGGTGGCCTCAGTACTTCCTTGTTGCCGAAGCTCCCGGAAATCGAATTATGGGATTCGGTACTTTTCTCCCCTTCTCTGCCATTTCATTTTTAGTCTTAGTCTGTTCAATTTCTCATTCCGATGTTTCTGTATTCTATTCAATCAATCTCGATTCCTTATGTTTTTAATTTTCACATCTAGCTATGACCACAATTCTTGTGTTGTCCTTTGAATTAAGACCTTTTTTCTATTTTTTTCTTTCCCAATAGAGTAGTCAGTTTTAAAACATATTATGCGAAATAAAGCAAGTCAAACAGTCATTATCTTCATGGATGCTTTACCTTTGATATACAATTGTGGGAAATTTTGAGAAACTTTAAATGATGGGGTCAACTAATGCCTTCTCAGAAGGTCTGGTCTAATGGCATTCATGTCACAGTAAAGCTAGATGTTGAGTTTGTACCTTGTCCTTCTATCTAGCTCCTCGGATTTATCAAAACTAATATGGTTTTGTTTACATTTGCATATGCCGTGCTACATGCCAACAACTCAATTGTGTTGCACCCGAAATGATTTTTGCGACTTCATTTTCTAATAAAAAAGTCATTTAGAATTAAATTCTTCAGAGAATTAATAGTTTCAAGACTTTTGACAATCAAAATTTGTGAAAATTTTAAATTATGTTTCTGTTGAAATTTTGACAGATAATAGTGCTACAGAAGCTTATTAGTTATTACCCCAGTTGGAAGTGTTGAGAGGAGTACAATGCAAACAGACACATGCACATATTTTACTACAGTGCTTTAATTCTATGGTGTTATCATTCCCCACCCCCATTCAAACTATCCCATCTTTTACCGAGAGCAATAATAAATAAGAAAAGATTAATACAAAATTTGGCATATATTTCTTGTCAGAGTGATGTTATAACTTATATGTCAACTCTCAATTATATGTGCTCAATGAACCATGTTAATTGACCCCATTTTTGGGGAAATTATTCTGTCCTATTAGAACCCCTGTATAGCTTGGGATTTGACTTTGGAGGAACGCAATTAGTTTTGGTATCGCTATAGAGACAACTAGGTTTCTTTTTTAACAGGAATATAAATGTAATCAGATTCTTGCTGAAAACAGAATCCATTCTGATAGTATTTACAAACACATGAATCTATGTCTATACTTTGCATTGTCTTTGCCTGTACTTTTGCTTACGTGCATCCGCTACTGTTGCTATCTCTTGATGAAAGGATATGTGGACCTAATGCCTTTTAATTTGTTCATCATAGTTATGGGACAAACTCAAGAATTCGATTATCCCCATGGACATATAAATGAAATGGCCTTTGCTTCTGAGTATCGCTCAAAGCAATTCGTGAAGAACCTGATGAACCACCTGGAAGATATCTTTGACTATACGTAAGAGCGAAACACACTAAAGTATTCTGATTTTTGTCTCTTGATTTTTGAAACATAAATTAACCAGAGAATGTGGTATTGTGAATTGAGTTAATATTCATTTGTCCATCATATTGAAAAAAAATTCCCATGCGTTTTTATTGCTAATTTTCATATAAACATTAATTGATTCTGATTATCCTAATTTGTCAGAATTTTCAGTTAAATCTCATATATCCTTCAGATTTGTTAGAAATTTTTAGCCTGTATATATTCACTGTACTTATATGGAGCTCATGATGGGGCTTATGTTGCTTAGCAGAAGGTAAGGCTTTTGTCTTTGATGTGACCAACCGTTCTTGACTAGCCTCTTTGGCTATACCCTTTTTTTATCTCGTTATATTCGTCCTAATTTTATATTGTGGTTGTTTAACCTCTTCTGCTTCAAACTCAAAGAACTTGAGTTGTGAAGCCACTATTGAAACAGGCAGTTGGACTTACGAGGTTATCTATGTATCGCATAGGGACAATGCATGTATATATCTATGTGTACATATCTTTGAGTATATGTGTGGATACTTAGATGCTGCAGATGTACTGCAGTCAAGAGTCTCACGTTAAGGAAATTTTTGTGTACTTTTTAATTGACTCGGGCAATTTATGTGCTTTTTGGCTATTTCTAGAGCTGTTTTTGCTCCTTCAACAGCTGCTCATTCTAACTTTTTGGTGGATTTTTTTTTTTTTTGAAATAGCCAACTAAATCTAAGCTCGTCTTTCTATATTGTGGTATTAACTGAAGGTATGGCCTTAGATAGAGTGGAATGATGAGAATGTATTCATTTAACTGGCCCCAAATAGTGGGAAAAGGCTTTGTTGACTTGAGTTGCTTGTTTGCCCATTTTATTTTTATTTTCTTTCTTTTTGATGTTTCATTGGTGTCACTGAAGGTCACCAATCAGCCTGTATTATGGCTTCGGTTGAGTGTTAAGATTGGAGATACTATGAATATTCAACTCAACAGTGCCTTTTGTCCCAACTTATAGACAGTGCTGCATGAATCCTATTTTCCATGTTTCTCATTTTGGCGATTTGTTTGTCATAAACTAATATGCCCTTCTACTCTCCCTCGACCATTGGCCTTTCTCTCATTCTTGCACCACCTTTGTAAATTATATTCATGTTTAAACCATATTCACAGATTTTATTCGTGTCCAATGTTTGCTACTTCGAGAATGTATTTGTTTTTATAGGTTTGAAGTTTTTGATATTAGCCATATCTCTTGCCACCCCCAAGGATGAGGTAAGGCCAGGTTGGAGCATGTGTTACTGAACTGATCAAAGAAGAATAAAGATCTGCATATTGGCTGTCTTTATTTTATGGACATGTTGATAAGTAATTGCCAACTCATAAAGAAGAACTCCAAACGAATGTGTAAATTTTGTTAAATTGATAACTATCCAAAGAAGAAGGCTGTGCATTCTCTTCAAAGTGTGAACTCGGGTTAAAGATCATTTTGGCTCAAAGTCAACATTATGTAACTCTTACGTCAAAAAAAAATTAAAGAAGAGTCCATAGCAATTGTGGTTTCTTTGCTTATGAGTCTCTCTTGCAAGTTGCAGTTTGTTCATTTTGTGCCTATTAACTCTTCACCAATTTCGCAATGGCGAGTATTTATGAGTGCTCTACAACAGTCATGATTTTCTTTTTCCTATTTTTTGTTTTTTGTTTTTTTGAGAAAGAAATTGAGTGTTGAGGTTTTCACTTCGCTTACGAAAGAAATGTATGTTTCTAATGGAAATGAATAGAAAATATCATATTTAGTTGTATGCTATTATGATAACTACTTGTATTTTCTTCACCTTATTATGTGGCAATTATTAGCATTACGAATTATGGTCTTACCTTAATGAATCTTACAATTTACGTGGGTTGTTCTCTCAGCTTCAGTCCTAAAAGTACCTTTCTTTTGGCAGTGACGCTGCATACTTTGTGGACTTCCATGTGAGTACATCAAAATCATCGACAATAAAGATGTTTGAGGAGGTAGGGCTATCTAAGTTTTCCCATTTTACTTTTTACAAATTGTAGAGCTAATCTTATTTTCATATGAGCTGCGAACTTTTGGGGTCCATTTAAAATATTTGTGATGAAAATTGTGTATAATGCTGTGTTTGGTAGGAAGGAAGAAAATTGGATGGAAGGGAGAGAAGAATAGATGAATGAGATAAAACCTTATTTTGTTTGTTAGGAGATAAGGGAAGAGAGAGTGTTTAGTATAAGGAAAATTTGTAACTTAAAAACTTCTATAATAGCATTGTCTTTCTTCCTTCGTGTCTTCCGTCCATATTTGGAGGGAAAATTTGTGAAAGAGGAAGGATGATTCATCCATCCTCTTTTCTCCTCTCTTGTCTCCTCTTTACCAATCGAAGGAAATTTATTTCTTCCTTCCTATTTTCTCTCCACCCCTCTTCCTTCCTTCCTACCAAATGGAGCACAAATGTTCTTTTTAAGGCTCTTCTATCCACTTCAATTACTGTACCACCAATTGGTCTGTAAACCTTCTTACTGAGCATCATTTTTTTGCCACAGAACTCCAGAAACATTTTGATTTAATTTTTATATGCGTGCACACACACACACCCGGACACACGGGATAAAATACTATCAAGAGGTCCCTCTTAGGACAAGTCACGAGCGCATGTTTATTTGCTGTTGGACTGAAAATTTTATTTCAAGATTCTTTTGTTTTAGTCTTTGTATTCATGGACCTGAAGACCTTTTTCCAATCCAGCGGTCAATAAGGTTCTGACTCTTGTCATAACAGGGATCTGTTGATAAGCTTATTCTCTTTCTCTCTCTCTTTCTATATATATATATATATATTATATTTTCGACTAGATTGGATTTTTTCCATATAATTGAATTTTCAATTTCGACTAGATTGGAGTTTTCCTATCTTTTGATAATTAATTTGGAGTTTTTTGGTATTATATAGAAAAAATCCAGATAATTTAAAGGTTTTTATCAGGAGAAATGGGAAAAAAATAAATCAATCGCGAGGATGAGCCAAAAGCTCCAAAATATACAGGTTCTGCATTATGGACCCTTTTAATTATAGTTAAGTGGTGTAAATAAAAAAGGAAAACACTAAATAGATGATGCGAGCTTTGATGATGCGAGCTTTCTTGAGTTCCTTCATTACATAGTAAAATGAGTACTCAGCACCACCCATTGATTACAGAAACTAAACTTGACGTTGTGATCCATATCTGTTGTATTTTTCTAAATTGTTAAAGCCCCTCTATGAAACTAGATAAGGGTGTTGTAGTTTTGACATTTATAGGTTGAATTTCTAGTTTTCCCTCTTCTTTTGATAATATCCAAACTCACCACGTCATCACTTAATCCCCCATGAATTTCTTTGAATCTTCTCTCTTTCTTTGAAAGCTACTATTACGACCATTGGGTCCAAACTCTTTGTGGTTTACTCGGAGGGAGTTGCATACCTTGAGGGATTTAATCTAAATTAGCATACTGTCAGTAGTTCAAAGCCTAGAGACATGGCCAGTAATTGCACTTGCTGGGCAAATATCCACTATGTGATGGATAGTATCTATTGTTGATCTTTCTTGGATTGTTTTGTTCTATGAAGACAACTGGCTCAATATATAATAATCTTCAAATGTTGCATGACCCAAGTTAAATTATCTTACTGGTGGTTTCTGAATGGAACTGCTTGGTAAATCATGAACGGATGAATTTTTCAATATTTCTATCTATAATTTCTAACCCTTTTTCTTTTTCCAGTTTGATTATGTCATCTATAGACGGAGGGAGCGCTATTTTCGTGGCACGGAAGATGCATTAAGTGAGTCTCTATTTCAATAATGAAATTCCTACTCTGCTTTTTAACTTGTACTGCCTAATGCCTATCATCTCTGATTTGTGATTTGTGATTTGTTTACAGATATGAGGAAAGCATTATCTCGGGATACAACTAAGAAATCTCTCATCCCCTTTAGAGATAAAAATTCACGTGCTCCTCCTGGTGAACTGTACACAGCAATTGATGAAAATGAAGCAGATAAAGATGAATTTTGAGCATGCTCTGTCGTATCTTTTGCAGTACCATAGAAAATTTGATCGAAATGCATTGATGTGAAGATCCCGGAATTAGGCACCATATAGTGGTTGGTAGATTTTTTAGTAATGAATTTTTGACAATTGTGATATATGAATATGAATGTACGTTGTCTGGTGACAAGTTATGCATTACAGCAGGATATGAACTTGTGACAAATGTGATATACGAAGATGAAGACCGGTACTTGTGAAACTTTAGCTAGAGGATTTGATCGAAATGCATCTATGTGATAGCACCATATACAGGTGGTAGATTTTTTAGTTAGGAACAGAAGTATGACAAATGTGATATATGAACGTGTGCTGTCTGATGAGGGGTTATGCATTTACAGCAGGAACAATTGAGATGTTTTTGTAATGGTCTTGAATTTAGTATTTTTACGTTGAACCTTTTTGTTGTTGTTAGATGTTTAGTTAAATGGTGCTTGATTTTACATTTTCAACTCCGTAAGGTTCCATTTAGATTGAATGATTTGAAATGAATGGATTTTTATGCAATTATTTGTAGCATTAGTAAGTAATTTTGGTCTAAGTTTTAATAAAAATGCAGAGAGTGATTTGAGAGGCTTGTATGCCTTGATTAGAGAGAGGAGATATTTGAAATGCAAGTACCTTAATGGCAGAGGGAGGGTTGCCTGTACTCCTCATTATGCTATTTGGAGGAGTAGGTATTCGGTGTGCACCGTGCACATCGTAGCTGTCCGTATTCGCGCGTGTTGTACATGTGCATGTATACAACACGGATGGTTGTGATGTGCCCGGTGCCCAGTGCACCGAACACACCGAATGCCTACTCTTCCTAGTAGCAAAATGAGGAGTACGTGCAGCCCCCTGCCATTAAGGTACTTGCATTTTTTCTGCTTGCCTCACGAGAACATGTTTTAACATTGCTGGTTTCCTACTGAATACAGCAATGGCCTAAGATTTCCATAAAACATAGCAAGATATGTATAAATTCATGCTTCCAACTCATACATTGCAAGAGAAATCATAGTATTTTTGTCAGTTGCATAGAAAGTGTTTGTCTCAAGGTATTAGGACAGGGCAGGGTTAGAGCTTTTTTCTTTAAGGCTCGTTTGTTTCGACGTAAAATATTTTTTTTGAAAAATATATATATTTTTTTCAGGTAAAATATTCTTTTATTTTTACTTTGTCGGTGTTTGGCAAATGTTTACGTCAAGGTTGTGATCGAGTCCATCGGGTGGGGTAGATAAAATAATTTGTGGATAAGTTATTTTTGTTAAATTTTAATATTTTTTTTGTTTGTAAATATTTTACGACAACCAAATACCAGAAAATAAAAAAATATTTTCTGAAAAATATTTTATGTCCAAACAAACGTAGCCTAAATGTTTTATTTTTTTTCTAAAGTTTTTAAAATTATTTCCAAAGAACCTAATTAAACAAAGTAGTAGAAATTGATTGTTTAATTTCTAAAAATAATGTTATGTTCTCAAACAAGTAAAAATTATAAATAATAAGCAAAATCTTTTCACTACAGTTTTTGAAAACAGAGTTTTTTTTTTTTTTTTTTTTATTTAAAAAGATTTTGTAAACATGTATATTTTTTTTCTAGCAAAGAACTCTTACGAGTTACCATGTCACTGGAGAGACCCGAACACTTTACTTCTTTTATTGAGGTTAAAAGGAAAAGAGATATCACCTGATCACATATTCACATGGGTATATAAGTATATTTTGTAAATATTAAAATTTTTTTTTTTCATTATTAGAGATTTCGGGAAATGATTTTTTTTTTTAATTATAAAACAAACCGGTTTATAGCCGGGTCAGGTAGACCGGTCGCTGGGCCCAATCTTTTTAAAACGCACAGGGAAGGCTTTTTTTCCCGCATTGGCGCATTCTATCACACAATTCACACGCGCACACACACACACACGATGCAAGAGAGAGCTAGAGAGAGAGAGAGAGAGAGAGAGAGAGAGAGAGAGAGAGAGAGAGATGACGACAATTCGAAGATTCTGCTGCAACGATCTTCTCCGATTCGCATCTGTAAATCTTGATCATTTCACTAAAATAGTAAGTGTTATCTTATTTCATCTATGTCTATTATTGTTTTCTTGATTGAGTTATCGATAAAAGGGGAGGGTTTGAAACTATATATATATATATATATATATATATATTGTATGATGAGTGCAGTACAGTATGGATGAGTACATGGGATATTTGGTAAAGTGGTCTGAGTACTGCTTTGTTTCCGAAGCCCCCGGAAATCGATTCGTTGGATTCAGTACTTTCTCTCTCCTCTCTGCCATTTCTTTCGTACTCTTAATCTGTTCAATTTCTCATTCTGATGTTTCTGTATTCTATTCATTCAATCTTGGTTCCTTATGTGACATGCACTTCTGCTTTTCAAATGATTGTGTTATGTTGCTTATTTTCACATCTAGCTGTGACCACAATTCTTGTATTGTCCTTTAATTAATTAATTAATTATTTATTTTTTTCTGAATAAAGGAGTCGGTTTTGAATTATATTTTCTTTCATGTCTCCTTGAATGTTTTGCCTTCGATATACAGTCGTGGGAAATAAGTTTTTCTCCCTCTTGAGAACTTAAATTTATGAGGTCGACTAGCTCAAGAAACAGCCAGACATTTGCAGAAACTGGAATTAGTTCTAATCTGATTTTACCGTGCAAATTATTTGATTAGTATTCTTTTTCAGAGACATGATTTGATACTTGATAGGAATGATAAATTTTATTTGAAAACAAGTTAGAAATAGCTTAGGCTAGTGCAAGAAACCTTGATCACTGGGCATGAATTTCTTCGGGATGAATTGATTTTAACCTAGGATGCCAGAAAGAAAAAAATTAATTAATTAGAAAGGATTTGTAGGAAAGCAAGCTCTATTTTTTTTAAACCAATACTTTTGTATTTTTATGCACACACACACACACATATATCTATAAAGGTAATGGAATCCTAATATATAGGAAAAAATGTGTTGCAATAAATTTCAGATTAAAAAAGCAGATTTTTTGTGTTCCATATAGCAGTTTACAGGAAGAGAGAATCCTTCCAGTCAACAAATTTTGGACATGTATAAATTTCGGTGTATAAGGTTGTATATGTTGGGTTCAAATCTATTTCTATGCTTAAGTTCTCTATTATTTCCACTCTTTTTTGTTGGGTCTCAGAGAGAGATTATAGATCTATATAGGAGATTTTTGTTTTTTTGGCCTCTTTGAAGGTTTGAGGCGCCTTTTGGCCCTGTGTTTTTTTGGGTTCCACTCCCCTTTTGAGCGTTTTCAATAAAATCTTACTTATAAAAAAAAAAAAAAAAAAAAATTGGTATATGTTATTGTATAAGTTTACTGGTTGTGCCCCTTCGGAACCTATTATTGATCTACTTTGCCTCCAAAAAAGAAAAATAAATAGGAGACAGAGAGAGCGCTCCCTTAGACATGGTCAGAAGGACAGGGCTAGTGATTGTCCACCTACTTGGCATGATATCTACACATCAAGTGATCGGGTAAGGCCTATAAAATGAGAATGATTTACAAAATTATGGAGATAGGCTAAAGATGGTTGGTTAGAAGTAGTTTTTTATTTTTTATTTTTACAGTTTGGGTAATTAATAATCACATCAAATGAGTAAGGATTGAAAAAATAATTTTAGAATTAAATTCTGCACAGAATTAATAGTTTCAAGATTTTAGACAATCAAATTTTTTGAAAATTATAAATTGTGTTTGTCTGTTGAAATTTTGACAGATAATAGGGCTATAGGAGCTTATTGGTTATTGCCCTAGTTGGAAGTGTTACTGGTAAAGAGGAGTACGATGCAAACAAGACACATATGCATATTTTTTACTACTGTGCTTTGATTCTATAGTGGTCGTTCCCCACCCCCCATCCCATTCAAACAATCACATCTTTTGCCAAAAGAATAAATAAATAAGAAATGATAAATGCAAATTTTGGATATGTTTCTTGTCAGAGTGATGTTATATGTCAACTCTCAATTATATGTGCTCAAATTACCATATCAATTGACCCAACTTTTGGAATTGAAATTATTTGGTCTTATTAGAACCCCTATATAGCTTGGGCTTTGAATTTGTATGGACCTAATAAGCATTTGATAACTTTATTGGGACAAGTCAACTACGTTTCTTTTTTAACAGGAATATAAAAATAAACAGATTCTTGCTAAAAAAGAATTCATTCAGATAGAATTTACAAAAATATGAATCCATGTCTATACTCTGCATTGTTTTTGCCTGTACTTTGCTTACGTCCATCCGCTAATGTTGCTATTACTTGATGGAAGGCTACGTGGACCTAATGCCTTTTAATCTGTTCATTATAGTTATGGGAAAAACTCAAAAACATGACTACTGGCATGGCCAGATATTTGGTTTGGCTTTGGCTCCTGAGTATCACATAATTCAATTCGCCAAGAACCTGGCGAACCACCTGGAAGATATCTTTGACCATACGTAAGAGCGAAACACACTAAAGTATTCTGATTTATGTCTCTTTATTTTTGAAACGTAAAATAATCTGAGAATGTGTGGTATTGTGAATTGAGTAAATCTTCATTTGTCCATCATACTGGAAAAACTTTCTCATGTGTTTTATTGCTAATATCAATATAAACATTAATTGATTATGATCGTCCTAATATGTCAGAATGATCAGTTAAACCTCATATATCCTTTAGGTTTGTTAATTTTTTTAGCCTGTATACATTCACTGTACTTAATTCTATGGAGCTCATTATGGGGCTTATGTAGCTCATCAAAAGGTAAGGCTTTTGTCTTTTTATCTCATTATATTTGTACTAATCTTATATTGTGCTTGTTTAACCTCTTCTGCTTCAAACTTGAAAAACTAAAGTTGTGAAGTCACTATTGTAACTGGCAATCAGACTTACGAGGTTATCCATGTTGCACATAAGGATAGTGCATGTATATATCTTATATGTACATGTCTTTGAGTAGATGTGTGGATATTTAGATGCTGCAGGTGCGTTGCACTATGCGGTATATACTCTCACTCTCACGTTAAGGAAGCTTTTGTGCATTTTTTAATAGACTTGGTCAATTTATGTGCTTTTTGTTTGTTAAGAGAAGGGACATTTCTAGAGCTTTTTTTTTTTTTTTTTTGGCTCCTTCAACAACTGCTCATTCTAAAATTTTGCTGGAATTTTTTTTAAAAAATAATCAACTAAATCTAAGCTTGTCTTTCTATGTAGTTATTCTTTTTGTCTATATAGGTTGAGATAGTTATGAAAGATATAATAACATGTAGTCTTAACTGAGGTTATGGCCTTAGAATGGAATGATGAGAAAGTATTCGTGTAACCGGCCCCAAAGATTGGGAAAAGGCTTTGTGGAGTTGAGTGGCTTGTTTGTCTTTTTATTTATTTATTTTTTTTTATATTTTTTAATGGTACATTTGTGTCACTAAAGTTCACCAATCAGCCTGTATTATGGCTTCGGTTGAGTGTAAAGATTGGGGATATTTTGAATACCCAACCCTACAGTGCGTTTTGTCCCAACTTATGGACAGTGCTGCATGAATCCTATTTTCCATGTTTCTCATTTTGGCTATTTTTGTTTGTCATAAACTAATATGCTTTTCTACTCTCTTTCAACCGTTGGCCTTTCTCTCATCCTTGCACCACCTTCGTAAATTATATTCATTTTTAAACCATATTCACCGATTTTATTCGTGTCCAATATTTTCGCTACTTGGAGAATGTATTTGATTTTTTGTTTACCTTTTCATTCCGTAGAACTTATAAAATAGAAGTTTTTGATATTAGCCATACCACCAACTTCATTTTATGGACATATTGATTACCAATTGCCAACTCATTAAGAAAAATTCCAAAAGAGCGTGTAAATTTTGTTCAATTGATATTCGATCCCTATCCAAAGAAGAAGGCTGCACATGCTCTTCATTCAAAGTGTGAAATCAGGTTGATGATCATTTTGCTCAAAGTCACCGTTATTTAACTGCTTTTTCAAAATTTTAAACAAGAGTCCAGGGCTTTGTAAACATTTCAATGTAGTTTCTTTTCTTATGACTCTCTCTTGCAACTTGCAGTTTGGTCATTTTGTGCATGTTAATGCTTCAACAATTTGACAATGGCGAGTATTTAAGAGTGCTCTACACAATTCATGATTTTTCCCTCTTTCTTTTTCTATAGAAAATTTATTCTCGAGGTTTTCACCTCACTTATGAACGAAATGTATGTTTTTGAATAAAATGAATAGAAAATCTCATATTCAATTGTATGCTATCATGATAACTACCTGTATTTTCTTCATCTTTACCAGTTGCAGTCTTTACCTTAATGAATCTTATAATTTACGCGCGCTGTTCTCTCAGCTTTAGTCCTAAAGTACCTTTCTTTTGGCAGTGACGCTGCATTCTATGTGGACCTCATTCTGAGAGCATCACACTCATGGAAAATAAAGATGTTTGAGGAGGTAGTGGTTATCTATTTTCCTTTTTGACAAATTGTAGAGCTAACCTTATTTTCACATGAGCTGCGAACTTTGTATATTTCAACAGAACTCCAGGAATTTTTGGATTTAATTATATGTTCGCACACACACACATGCACACATAATAAAAAAATCACTATGATATAAAAAAAACTTGCTGATGAATTCCATGCCTTTTGGTTGAAGGAATTCTTACAAGAAAAATATCCCAGCACCACCCATTGATTACAGAAACTAAAATTAACATCGTGATCCATATATGAAACTAGATAAGTGTGTTGTAGGTATGACATTTATATGTTGAATTTATAGTTCTTTTCCCTCTTCTTTCGAATTTCTAGGTTGAATTTTTCGGTATTTCTATTTATAATCTCTATCCCTTCTTTTTTGTCCAGCTTGGTTACGTAATCTATAAACGGAAGGAGAAGTTTTTTGAGGGCAAGGAGGATGGGTTCAGTGAGCATCCTCTCTCGTTTCAATAATGAAATTCCTATTCCCTGCTTTATAACTTGTACTGCATATCCTCTCTGATTTGTGATTTGTTTACAGAAATGAGGAAACCATTATCTCGGGATAAAGAAAAGAAAACTATCATCCCCCCTAGACCTAAAAGTTCTTATGCTCCGGATGAACTGGGCACAGCAAATGATGATGCTCTACGCAAATACGATGAATACTGATACTAGTGAAACTTCAGCACGAGAATTTGATCGAAATGCATTGATGTGAAGATCCGGGAATTAGGCACCGTATACCGGTGGTAGATTTTTTTTGTTATGAACTTGTGAGAAATGTGATATATGAATATGAATGTACACTATCTGATGACAAGCTATTCCTTGTAGCAGGAACAATTGAATATACTATTTTGATGTTGAAACTTGTTGTTGTTGTTGTTAGATGTTTACTTAACTGGTGTTGAAACTTGTTGTTGTTGTTGTTAGATGTTTACTTAACTGGTGTTTGGTTATACATTTTCAACTCCAAAAGGTTCCATTTGGATTGAAAGTTTTGAAATGATTGGATTTCTGTGCAATTATTTATAGTTTTAGTAAGTAATTTTGGTCCAAGTTTTAATAAAAATGCATAAAGTGATTTTAGAGATTTATGACAGATTTTAAAATATTTTTCTTTTTGTCACAAAGTATTAATTAGTAATTTAGTATTACTTTAGAGCAGGTCCAATGGTGAGGGATCCGGTGATTTTGGGCCAGATTTGAAGATTGGCCTGCCCCAATGGACTCTCCAAAAAGTGGGCCCTATAAAGAGGCTCTTGATCCAGGTCGCCAATTACTAAGATTGGGTTGGCGATTTGCGGGCCCGCATCAGTTTTCTTTTTCTATTTTAATTCTGGCCCAAACAGTATTTAGCCCAAAACACTATTTGGTAAGGCATGTTTGGCTGATTTTGGCCTCTTTTTTTTTTCCTCAAAATAATTGAACCAAAGAGCCGTTAAGGCACTGTTTGGCTGACAGAAACAGTGCCTTAAAGGCTTTTTTGGGTAAAAAAGTTAAAAAATAATAGATAGAAGTGTTTTTTTATTTTTAATTTGCTTTTTAAAATATTACTACTGCCATATAGCAGCTTTAGGCACTGTTTGGCTGACCCAAACAGTGCCTTAACAGCTATATTGGCACAAAAACCTATTTTTTGAATTTTTTTTAAAAAAAATAATTATATACATATTTATTTATTTATTTTAAATATAACCGCTAGAAATATAGCCGTTAGGAAAAAGTTAAAAAATAAATTTTATTTTAAATTTTAAAAATATTAAAATATTAATATTTTTGGAGAGTGAAAATGTACCATTGGAGTACATCCGATAGCTAAAATTTGGAGATTCTAAAACGCTGACGTGGCTATGAAAAATGTTGATGTGGCTATAAAAAAATGCTGATGTGGCAAATTCGAAGAGTCTATTGGAGATGCCCTTAGGACTACGAAAATACCAAGGTTTCAACTCCAATTAGGAGTGAAACTCTAATCAAGACTGAAACGCTAAAATTCTAGAAATACAATATTGGAAATAATTATAAATATATTTTTTGATTAATTTAGCTTGTTATTTTTTAAAAAAAAATAATTAAAATAATGTTTTGGCTATTTTTTTTTTTCTAAAATAAATGTATACATTTTTCCATAGTTGTTGAAACTATTTTAAAAGAACATAATTGAACAGAGTATTAGAAATTGTTTGGTTTCATCTCTAAACAATAATATTTTGATCTCAAATAATTTTAAAATTTAAAACGTAAAATCTTTTCACTATAGCTTTTGGAAAAGAGTTACTAAAACATGGTTTAAAAAAAAAACAGTAGATTTCGAAATATATATATATATATACACACTTTGACGAAGAACTTTTATGATGTCACTAGAACCATTAAGTTTGAAAGAAAAGAAAATACCACTAAATCATAGGTCTAAGCAAATTTTGTAAATATTCTAAAAATTATTTTATTATTAGAATTTTTCAAAAAAAAATTAAACCACTGAGAAATGATACTTACAGGTGCAAAGCGGTTTATAGCTGGGTCAGGTAGACCGGCGGTTGGGCCCAATCTTTAAAAAACGTAGAGGGATGTTATTTTCCCGCATTGGCCCATTCTTTCACACAATTCACACACACAGTGCGAGAGAGAGAGATGACGACCATTCGAAGATTTGACTGCAACGATCTTCTCCGATTCGCGTCTGTAAATCTTGACCGTCTCGCTGTAACAGTAAGTGGCATCTTATTTGGTCCATATCTGTTATTGTTTTCTTGATTGAGTTAATGAATTGATAAAAGGGGAGGGTTTGAAGCATATATATTGTGTGATGAATGTAGTTCGATATGAATATCTACATGACTTTCATGGGAAGTTAGCCTCGGTACTTCCTTGCAAGGAGCCTCGGTACTTCCTTGCAAGGGCGGAGGTAGCTTGTGCCTGGGGGGCAGCTGCCCCCCCTGTTCATGCTGCCCGTTAAATTTTTTTGTTTTTTTATATATAAATTTAAAAAAATTGACACAATGCCCCCCTAAAATTGATAAAATGGCCCTTCAGCCCTTGAATCCACTAAATTTTATTTTATTTTATGCCTATAATTTGTAAATATTTATAAAACACCCTTATAAAATTTTAAAGTATCCTCATAAAATTATCTATTTCTAAAAATGCCTTTAGTTGTTTATTCCTTTTCCTTCTTATTCTTCAAATTTCTTTTTATTTCATTTTCTTCATAAAAATTCCTTTTTCTTCTTAAAAATTTCTTTTTTCTTGCACTCATGCATTATTTATGTGCAATAACCCTTTTTTTTTTTTTTTTTCTTCTTTTTTCTCTTCTAATTCATTTTTTATTCACTTATTCTGCTGCACAGTTGTTACACTATTATATTTTTTGCCTCCTTGAAAAAAATTATTTTATCAGTATTAATATGCCCCCCGAACCAAATTTCTGGCTCCGCCCCTGCTTCCTTGTTGCCGATGCTCCCGGAAATCGAATGATAGGATACAGTACTTTTCTCTCTCCTTCTCTGCCATTTCTTTTTGTACTCTTAGTCTGTTCAATCAATCTTGGTTCCTCATGTAACAATTCTTGTATTGTCCTTATAAATTTTCCCTTTTCTGTGAGAAATAAAGCAATAATTTTTCCCCCCTTTTGAGAACTTAAATTTATGGGGTGGACTAGTGCAAGAAACATTGAGACATTTGCAGAAAGTGGAATGAGTTCTTACCGTGCGATTAATTTGATTAGTATTGTTTGTCAGAGACATGAGTTGATACTTGATAGGAATGAGAAATTTTATTTGAAAAGAAGTTGGAAATTGCTTAGATTTGTGCAAGAAATATTGAGACATCTGCATGCATTTTGTACAGATCTCTTCACTTGGCATCAATTTCCTCTAGATGAATGTATTATAACCTAGGATGCATATGTAGGAAAAAATGTTGCAATAGTAAGGGCTATTCTTTTGGGGATAGATAGTATTCTCTTGTTTAATTTATCATTACTAGAAAAACAATTGCCAATTTTTAGTTCTCATAATTCTCTTTAAATATATAAACTCACATCGCACGCATACCTACACACATATAAAAGTGCTCCAGGTAACATATTCGGAGAGTCAGAGGATGGAAGTTGGGGAATAAAGATGCTGGTTACTTAGCTTAAGTTAGAAACATTTGAGGGAATCTCATGAAGTCCAACATAAGAAGTGGAAGAGACGTTTGCCCACGTATCTTGGTGTCATTTTGGTTCACTACAGTGTTACTGATGATGGTGCGCAATGTTTAACAGGTGGAGAAGGCTTGGTGGATAATTCCCCTTTTTTCCTATGTGGTGGATATTGGGGAGCAGAATGGGGCACCATTTTGATGGGTGGCAGAGCTGAACGACGGATTAAAAAAGCAGATTTTGGTGTTTCACATAGCTGTGAAGAGGAAGAGAGAATCCCTCAAGTCAACAAATTTTGGACATGTATAAATTATGGATTCTTTGTATAAGGTGGTATAAATTTTGTATAAGTTTACAGGTTGTGCCCCTTCAGAACCTATTATTGAACTACTTTACCTCTAAAAAAGAAAAAGAAATAGAGGGGAGAGAGAGAGAGAGATGGTCAGAAGGACAGGGCTAGTGATTGCCCACTTACTTGGCATGAGATCTACTCCTCACAGCAATTAGGTAAGGCTTATAGATTAATTGTCAAAGTAGTTTTGGATAGATTGATTTACAAAGTAGCTTTAAGATGGAGCATTTCTTCAGGAACACAAGAATGGTTTACAAAATTGTGAAGATAGGTTAAAGATGAAGTCAGTAAAGAAGTTGTAGTATTTTTTTTATTTACCTTGTTAATAACCCATCTACTCCAAAAGCTTAAGCTGTTAGAGATGGTATAACTTAAATATTTAAATCCTTCAATACGCCCCCTCACGTGTAGCCTTCTTTTGGTCCAACACGTGTATCAATTTTAAATCAGGGTGACGGTAAGGTTTGAACACAGGACCTTGCCTGCTCTTATACCATGTTAATAATCCATCTATTCCAAAAGCTTAAGCTATTAGAGAGGGTGTAACTTAAATATTTAAATCTTTCAACATACCTGTTTGCACATTAAATGAGTGAGGATTGGAAAGATGATTTTCTGTAACAAGGATATCCATTATTAACGTACTCGCGGGCTTCCTTTATATATATATATAAGTACAACTAGTCTAGTAAAATATAAACTTTTTCACTTTGAATGGTGAGAATGTCATGGAAACTGCTACGTGCAATGGTAATTTTTTAGCTTCCTAGTGGGAAAAAGTGCAGGTCTGGTCTAATGGCATTCATGTCACAGTAAAGCTAGATGTTGAGTTTGTACCTTGTCCTTCTACCTAGGTCCTCGGATTTATCAAGACAAACATGTGTAATATTATTTTGTTTACATGTGCATATGCTGTGCAATAAAGCAATTATGTTTCACCCAAAATGATTTTTGTGAGTTCATTATTTTAATAAAAATGTCATTTAGAAGTAAATTCTGCACAGAATTAACAGTTTCAAGATTTTAGACAACTGAAATTTGTGAAAATTTTAAATTGTGTTTGTCTGTTGAAATTTTGATGGATAGTAATGCTACAGATAATAGTGCTAGAGGAGCTTATTGGTTATTGACCCAGTTGGAAGTGTTACTGGTAGAGAGGAGTACAATGAAAACAGAACCACATGCACATATGCATAATTTTTACCCCAAAACTCAAACAATCCCACATTTTGCTGAAAGATAAATAAATAAGAAAAGTTAAATGCAAATTTTGGCACTTTTTTTTTTTGTCAGAGTGATGTTGTATGTCAACTCTCAATTATATGTCCTCAAAGCACCAT